TGCCTTACATTTATTCAATTACAGGTGGTTTTACGGCTCAAAATGCAGAGAAAAACATGCATTCTGACTATGAGCAGGACCGCCTCTCCACAGATCTGACCTGTAATTTGATCTGGTTTGGTTTCAATGAAGAGTCAGCTTTGTGTAATACAGGACCTTTAAAGATGAATTATGTAAGTTTTCTTGGATAAGATGACCTGCCTGTGTGCATGAAATGTTATTTGTCTCTCTGGAATGTTTCACAGTGTGTCATTAAACGTATCTATCCATATTTTCAATTCCACATGTTATTCAGATTTAAAAATAAAATCTATTCTTAATGTGTGTCTGCAGTTTCCATGGAGATAGACAAGTTTAATGCCATATTGTATAATCTTGGTGAATAAACGGCAAGTCTGCAGCAGTGGAATAAAGATTTGTGGTTTGGTCCTTTTTACACTCGATGTGGTCATATTGATGGTTTGCAGTGACATCGCGCTGGGGGTGTTCTACATGTATTTCTATTTTACGAGTCTGGAAAATACAAAATGGATTTAAACCGCACATTTTCCGGAGCCTGTGATGAATACGAGCGCTCATGGTCCTTTTATAGGTGTTTGATTTTCAACAAAAAGGTGAGAGTGACTAACTGAAAAAACTGTTGGCTAATGTTAGGAAGCCCGTGGCTGTAATTTCATGTGTGAGAGACTTATTTAACAGCACAAATCCGCTCACCTGCTGTGAATTCCAACTGAGTCTGGCCTTTCTGGTCAGATTGCATTGATATAACGCTCAGATTAAAGCTGCACTACGTTACTTTTTGGTTGGAGGTTCATCCAGAGTGACCAGATGTCCCTATGTACCCGGGACAATCCCAGTTTTGAGTCCTGTGTCTTTTGTCCCAGCAGATTTATACAAAACCACCGATTTGTCCCAGTTTTATACAAGAAATGTTTTCGGTGTTCCCATTTTTGACCAATTTGTTCCCCATCAGCAGTAAAGAAAAGGATATATTGTCATTTGTTTAGCTAAAATAAGAGAAAACTGCGCTTGAAAACGACCGTAAAGTGAACAAATGCACCAACAAACGTCCCTTAGATCGTTGTTTCCCAAAGACGAAATCTTTAGGAGGGTCGCAAGAGTTTTTTTTTTTGGGTCGCCTTGTCACGATCTGCATGTAGGTCTGAAATATACTTTATACAAATAGGCGACTTATGGATCCTTTTATTGCAGGTTCAGTTACAGTTTTTCATTGTTTAAAACTTGAGTAATACTAATTGTTCAGAGAGACACGATCACTCAGTCGACAATAAAATATCCTCATTTATGTTCAATAATGGTCAAATCCACCTTTATTTTGTGGTTTACAAATAATGTCTATTGACTTGGGGCGTGAAGGTTTGCGACTTTTAAAATATGGGTCCCCAGAAAAAAAAAAGTTTGGGAAACACCGATTTAGACTTTATACTAACCCAAAAGTGAGCCGAGAATGGACAATTTTGCGCGCTCTTTTCACAACTGTATTTATACCAAACATCCCAACCCGGGTGTGTCCCAGTTTTCAATTTTGAAAATCTGCTCACTCTAGGTCCGTCACCTGCTTGTTGCTATGGAAATGCTAATATTGCTCTACCTGAAATGTTCCACAGTGTGACATTAAACAGCTCTACCTTACATTTACTCAATTAGAGGTGGTTTTATAGCTGAAAAATACTTAGAAACAACATTCTGACTGTGAGCATTTTCACTTCTCCACAGATCTAATGGGGCCTTCGTTTATCCATCCGACTCAGAGGTCCAAGGACATTGCCTAACGACATGCACCGTCACACCCCTTTTCCTCGGACGGCGGAACTCGGAAGAGCTCAGAGGAGACCAAGCAAGGTTTCCGAGACAGAAATTAAGATGCCTGTCACTTGTAGTATGAACTGTTTTCATTGTGTTTGGAAGCTTTGGTGGTTTAAATGACCATTTCAGTCACTCGTATTACTGCAGTACCGTACAGCGTCTGTATAACTGCCTGTGGGTCTGGTAGTATTACTACAATACCTTACTGCATCTGTATCGCCGTCTATGGGTTTGGTAGTCAGTGTCCCCCATGTTTTTAGCCCATTTCCTGCAATTATCGCCTATTACGTGACACCAATGCTTTCACTTCACTAATGTACTGAATTATACTATTTATTCTGAACTCTTCTTCGAGGTTGTGTAGTTGAAGCACAGACTTATTTTGGAGCGCCTGGTACTCGGCCAATGCTAAAGCATCAACAGCTTTCCGGTCAGCATTTATTTATTTATTTATTGGATCCCCATTAGTCTTTACTCAGGTAAAGACTATTCTTCCTGGGGCCCAAGTTGGCATAATTTACAATAAAATGTTCCATTATAATAAAGTTCACACATAACTTCATACAGTCCTGTTCCACAGTATACTGCACTATGCAACACTACTACAATTATAATATATCCAACTAGAAAAGCAGTCAGAGAGCGCAGACCTCCGCCAAGGACTACAGTCCCCCTCATATTAATTGTGTTTTGCATAAATATTTGTCTCGTATCTTTCAATTTGGAATATGAAAGAGGATCCCATTGTCCATCCCTGAGTCAAATTTCATGGGGTTTGGTCAATAATTAACCGAGGTATTGAGAAACAAAATTTTTGGCCCCATTTACCACAATGTTAACTAAAATTTCAAAGTGATCCAGAATCCAGGATTTCTTCTGGATCACCCTCAAAATGAAATCAGTTCTTCCTTTTCACATTTCCAACATATTGAGTTATGTTGCTAACAGACAAACAAACAAACAAACAAACAAACAGACAAACGCCGGCAAAAACATAACCTCCTTGGCGGAGGTAATAAATTACAATGCATGACTAGTGACTAAATATAATTATGTACAATTTCCAATATATTTCTTTAATATTTTCTTAAAACTTGGTTCATGCTTGTGAACAGTTAAGGTTTGGGGGAGCCTGTTCCAAAGCAATATCGCTCTGCACAGAACAGAGCATCTACATTTTTCTCAGAGGTCACACAGAACATAATAAAACGGTGGCAGTGTGAACATGACGTCATATATGAGATCAGAGAGGGAGACGGATGGATAAACGAACACAACTTATCCTGTAATTTGGTCTGATTTGGTCTCCATGAAGATAGAAGCGTTTAATAACTTATGGAGAAAAGCATTTGACGAATCTTCCACGAGAAAAGTTAGTTAAGGATCACCTCGGCTCACTGGGCCCCTCAGTCCAATCCAGCCTTAGAAATCTTGGAGTGCTGTTGGACAAATCTATGTCTTTGGAGGGGCACTGCAGCCAAGTGGTTAAAAGCTGTTTTTATCAGCTTCGGAACATCACTAAACTCAGACCAGGTTTATCAAATGCTGATCTTGAAATGATTGTTCACTCTTTTATTTCATCTCGTTTAGATTACTGTAATTCTCTTTTTACTTGTTTTAATGCATCTACGTTTAAGCGGCTGCAACTTGTACAAAATGTGGCTGCAATGTTTTTAACAAGAGCAAACAGGCGAACTCACATTACACCAGTTTTATCTTCACTGCACTGGCTTCCTGTTAAGTTCCTTGTTGATTTTAAAATTTTGGTTTTAACTTACAGAGCTTTAAATGGACAGGCGCCCCAGTACATCAGGGACTTACTGCAGGCCTGCACCGTCCGGTCCTCTGGTCCTCCGGTCAGGGCCTCTTGATGGTCCCAAAGACCCGATTTAAAACTCGGGGTAATGTGTGCTTTCAGGCTGTGGCTCCCAAATTATGGAATGCCCTGCCCCCAGCCCTACGTGAGGCAGACTCTACAGACTCTTTTAAAAAGCAGCTCAAGACACTGCTATTTAGACTGGCTTTTTAGTTGACTGTGTCTGTAATTCCTCTGTTCTTGTTCATGTTGTTTTTATGTTGTTTTTTGCTCTGTAAAGCACTTTATGATTTTTTATCTGTGAAAGGTGCTATATAAATAAAGATTTACAAAGGCTACGTTCAGACTGCAGCCTGAAGTGACCCAAATCAGATTTTTTTACCCCTATGTGACCTGTATCTGATCTTTTAATGATAGTCTGAATGACACAGATCCGATTTTTTTTAAATGCGACCCAGGACACTTAGATATGTGGTCCTGAAACCGATACATATCTGATCTTTTGACATGTGACTTCAGTCTGAACGGCCAAAGTGCATTCATCCACCTACACGTTATCAACAAGCCACAAATGTCACTATTCTGCACTGAAGTAGGTGAAAATTGTTAATGAACTCCGTGTCACTGAAGCGAAGCACATCGCCACTCACCACTCTTGGCTACGTCTCCGCATCTACATGTTCCTTTCAACGGACGTCGCTGCCGCTGTCCCACAAAACGCCACGGCCAAAAACCTCGTCCTTTTCCTTCTCAATCTCCTCCTTAAAACAAGTAAGTTGTTCATGTTCTGGCTCCGGTACGAGAGAAACTTCTAAAAATCGCCAGGTGTTCAATGCTTGCGTCCATGTTTGGACAACTTCCGTAAACACAGATCACACTCGCTGCGGTTGACGTCGTCGTGTTCTCCAGTGCGGGACACTTTTGGGCCATTTAATGTTCACACTGGAGATCACATACAAGTCACACTTAATTGGAAATGTGAACGACCTCGCAAAAACATCGGATTTCACAAAATAATCAGAACTGAGCATTAAGCCCTGCAGTCTGAACGTAGCCTTACTTACTTTACTTACTTACACAACGCACCCTTAAAGTCTAACAAGCCTCAGACAGAGCAGTGCTCACAGTTAGCATCACACCCCCAGGGACTGTTGATGACATGAGCTGCACAGTATCAATAAGACGCCCGTGTGGTTCTTAATAAATCACTTTAACATCCACACAGAAGGTAGACTAGACCCGCAGGAGACGCCGTGTTGATTGGACACAGAGGTCACCGTATCCCATGGTAACAGCACTACAGTCAAGTGCACAGCAATAACAGACTAAAGAACGGGATTCTCCTTGGATCGAGTACCTCCGTCGCCGTGCTCAGGCTGCCCGGCTCCTCACTGGCGCGAACCATCAGAAGGTATCTCCTCTGATCGCTTTCATAATCGAGGGTCCTGGTCAAGCTGATCTCTCCCGTCTCCTGCCGGATACTGAAAAGGCTGCTGGGGTTGATCAGGAGGCTGTAGCTGATCGGCTGTTTTTGAAACGAGACAGCGACCACCGTCATGAACCTGCAGACGAACAAAGAGAAAAATGTTGCGTGTTAGGGCGAGAAAAAAACAACAACAAAAATGCTTTAAAGGGCCTATACTTCTCTACAAAGGCAAAACTTAACTCGCCAGAAAAATGACTTCACAGTTTCTGTTTTGTCCAGGCAAAAGTATAATAGGTAGTGCTCCCAAAATTTGACAACTAACGTATTTTTCAAACTTTTTTCACAAATAAACCACACCGGACTTTAAACGAAAGACAACAGTTAGATGGGCAATTTTAGCACATTTGTCCTCGCCTGGATTTGTTTCTTAATTTTGCTATTAAAACTCCACCTTTTACTCCCTAATGAAGTGTTATACATCATTTTTTTCAGTATAACCTGTTATTTCACAATCTTCATGCGGTAGTTGTGTCATATGGCTGTAATAGAAACTATAAGACCAGAAATACAAAAAAAAACTAAACAAAACAACTTTAAACGAAACACAACAGTTGGATGGGTCAGTGGGATTTTGTTTGTCACGTTCACGGTGACTCTGGGCTTTGTTCAGTTGTGGCGTGTAGGGAGGGTGCTGTCTGGGACCAACGGATTGTCGGCGTGTTCGCAGTGACTCAGTTGTTCAGTCGTGTCTAGAAGTGGCACACTGGACTCGCTTTTTCGGTTCGTTCCTCCGTTCCGTTCCTCGTCGGCGTGGAGTGATGAGTGTGGCTGTGGGTGTTTTTCGCTGTGCGGTCGCGTGTTTGGTGGTGCTGCTTTGTAGTTTACTGAAGTCGTGCTGGGACACCTGAGTGGATTCGTGTATAGGGTCCTCTGGTCGTTTTTTGATGGGGTTAGAGGCTTATGAGTGCGCCCTATAATGTGGAAAATACGGTAGTTGCTATAACGAAGAAATATTTGTATGGGAAAAATATTAAGCTCAAAATTGACCGTTGACCCTTATTTGTCAGTTCCATGAGTCAAAAATAAGGAATTGTGCAAAAGGCAAAAGGCAGAAACTGACATGATCATTATTATTTACTTGATTTTCACCAAGACTTACATTCATTATAAGAACACCTCACCAAGGTCTCATCATCGTGGTGTTTGTTTGAAATGATATAGAAGAGCTTTGGATTTCCTGTTTAGTGCTGATCAGGATCGTGCAGTAACAGACAAGTCACTATGCAGTATACTCTGTACAATATGAATAAATACACAAAATACTTTCATTTAAAGATAGTTGAAGTATAACTGAATACAAAGGTATATTTATTTAATGTGTTAAGACCTTGTGCCAAAGCTACAACAAAAAAGGAGGTGAGAGGTTGGATTTTTAAATAAAATATATTTTTGAACTAAATCACATTCAAAACATCAAAACAAAATACAAGCCTTTTGCCTTTACACGACTCCTTATTATTGGCACATGATACAAAGGAGTATCCTGATTCATCAGCTGGTTTCACTTTGTGGAAACCATCTGACCTCACAGCATTAGGATTCATTCACTCGACAGTAGGCGGGTACTTTTTTATAATTTAACCAATCACTGCTATTCGGTCGTGACGTATGTAATGCACCAAATCCCGTAGGAAGAAGGATAATAACGTCTTGGTCCTTGATAAAATTCACCAAACATTCTCTTTGTTCTGGCTTTAAATCCTCGATCTCGGGAATCTTTGCCAACACAGAATATATGTCTTTGTCTACATCCATCTCGACTGCTTTGTTTACTGTTGTGCTGTACCACAAAAGAGACCCAGACAGATGCTTGAGTTTGACGTCATGGCTTCACAGCTCTTCGCTGATTGGTCAGTGTGCGGCCTACAACTTCCGGGGTTCTTGCACATCGGCTAGTGTATTCTGATTCCTGACCTAGTCTCTGGAGAGAAATGAAATCGAGCGGAGACGGTAGGTGGAGTACAGGAACTGCCAAATCAGGGGCAAATATCAATTTTGAGCTCAATATTTTTCACGATATTTATTCATAGTAGAAATGAGGTCTCAAATACCCCCCAAAATTACATTAATTAATTTCTGACCAAACATTATTTTGTAGGGCAGTATACTGTATTACGCTTTTTCTATATTATTTGTTATAATGTTGTTTCCTCATCACAAACAGACCTGGAGTTGCTTTTGTTTCATTCGACATATTTAACACACAAATCCTGCATATTTAGGCTGAGTTCTTGTCTCAAACTGAAAACACCCTGTTCCACCTTGTGATGTCATGTGGTAATCCAAGGACGTCCTCCACTGGGTTTTTAAACTCCTTGCACTTTTACCAGAATCATTTGGATAATTTCAGGCCTGGAATTGCAAATCTCTGCTCAACAAAATATAAAATGTAGCTGTCAACTTGAAAACTACCACTTCATGACATCACAATGTAGATGACTGTATAGAGACTGATAATAATGCAGGACTACTCCAACATGTGTGAACGAAACGAAACACAACTCCGGGTATGTTTTTGATGAAGTAACAGCACTACAACACGGCTTAACGCCCACAAGAGTCAATTTAGCGTAATATAGGACCTTTAATATTCTCTAGTTGCAAACATGTTTATTTAAAATCGAAATCGTCTTTTCCTTACATCAGCACTGTGCGGTAATGAAATCAATTGCTCCACAGACCATTGGGCACATGCTATAAACACAGTCAATCAGCACTTGTCATTTCTGTGTAATAATGTAGTACTATTAGGCAGAACGAGCGTTTGCTTTTTTGCATTTAGAGAGACTTGGGCTTAGTGTGATAATGATATGTCAATTTATGCTTGAGAGCTCTTCTGCTGTTACTCCATGAATATGCAAGACTATAGGTACGGTATGGAGTTTGCTATGTTCACTACGCACGCATGTAAGTCAACTTTAGTCACTGCTTTCCGACAAATATGCAGACATCTGTTTTAATTATCACATACACACACTAATAGCTGTTTTCTGCTTCTGCTTGGTTGAATAATGAGCATATATAGTACAGATACAGGACTGCATTCATGATATACTCCATATAACTCTACAACAAATCACCTTTATGTCATGTTAACGGACCTACAGTATGTTACGTAAAGTTGACTCTCGTGAGCTTTAAGTTATGTTATGATATTGTTATCTCATCAGAAACAGACCTGGAGTTGTGCTTTCTCTCATTCACACATGTTAGAGTAATGCTTTATTATTAGTCTGTCTACGTCTCCGAAGATCAAAATGCTCTATTCCAACTTGTGGTGTCATGTAGTTGTAGTTTTTAACCCTTCCAGACCTAAAGGCAATTTTAGTACATCTGTCCTCGTCTGGATTTCTTTTTTTTTTTCTTAATTTCGCTATTAAAACTCCTCCTTTTACCCTCTAATGAAGCTTTATACATCCTTTTTTTCAGTACAACCTCTTATTTCACAATCTGTACATTGTAGTTGTGTCATACAGCTGTAATAAAAGCTATAGGACCAGAAATACAAAAAAACAAAAAACTAAACAAAAAAGCAAACATGTATAAACAACTTTTTGGACATAAAAAATGCTTAATTTAGGGCCTTAGCTACAAAAGTGCAAAATATCAAGTCTGTAAGTAAACTAAAAATATCCGTATTGCTCTTAAAAAAAAAAAAAAAATGGCAATGGCCCCATGACTTTCCTGGTGCCAGTCATGGAAACAGCTGGTGTCAGGTCCAGGGCACAGAACCACATCATTTCCTGCATTTCCATGGTGCTTATTACATTTGGATTTCTACATTTTGAGTGAAATAAACCTTTTAAATAAAAATAACAAGGGATGTGCACTTAAGCAGACCAAGTTGCGTAATATGCCATTTATTCGAGAAATAACTGCACTTAGAGCAGCTTTTTCAATTGTTACGAACAAAGACGCTCAGAACATCGTCCATTTTGACGCACTACACTCTTTGGCAAAGTTTGGGCCAATCAAAATGGACGGAGTGCATGTGTTTGACCGAAAACAAAGTTCCTATTGGACACACAATTTTCCTACATCATCACGCAGCATGTATGTGATGTAGGATAATGCCAAAAATATGCTCGGAAAGCCAAAACTGTCAGCTTTTCAAGGAAAAAAATGTAAATTTCTATGTTTTATGGTTGGAAAGTTTTGCATGGTTATGTAAAACATGTCCACCGTGGGTCTGGAAGAGTTAATTTAACTTTTTAATTTTAATTTTACCTTCAGTTCAGTGGAGATGTGCAATTCCAGGTCTGAAATTATCCAAATGATTCTAGTGAAGGTGAATGGAGTTGATAAACACAGTAGAACACTTCCTGTAAATTACCACATGGCATCATAAGGTGGAACAGGGTGTTTTCAGTTTGAGAGAAGAACTCAAACTAAATATTCAGGATTTGTGTGTTAAACATGAGTGAATAAAACAAAACATAACTCCAGATTTATTTGTGATGAGGAAACATTATAACATAGATCAGAAAACAGTGTAATATAATCTAATTTGTATTACTATATATATATTTTTTATTTTTACTTGTACATATACTGTACATTTATATAATTTACACCAGTCTCTTGTTATTTTTTCCTCATGAGCTACTGTGTCCAATTAATTTCTCTAGCGTAAGTCTTGGAATAAACCTACACCTATGGATCTGTCAGGAGTTTGACAACAACTAGTTATGATAGTGACAGTACTTTTATTTACACAATAAATTCACAACTCTTTTTATTTTGTATTTTTCTCTGTTAGATAATTGCGCCAGCTGAGGCTATAATAACTGTTTGAGCAGAACCACATGGGATAGTCTGTATAGTTTTAATTAAGACAAAATCCTTCAAAACACAATAAATTCGTGTTTTTTCTTTCTGCTGTTTACTAAGCCAGCGCTGTCACATTGCCTTGGACAGTTACAGACACACAGACAGATTTGGGTGCTGTTTTGAGTGCGTGTGTGGGACTCGCTGTGTCCTTCAGGCGTGTTTTTGGGATGGCAGGGGTGTCCAAACTTTCACCGAGGACCACATATAGAAACATATTCGTAATAGAGGGTCGCAGACTTGTTTTCT